CACCGCAGCCTCGACCTGCTGGGCTCCGGCGATCCTTCCGCCTCAGCCTTCCAAGTAGCTGGAATTACAGGCATGCGCTACCATGCCCGGCTGATTTTTTGATTTATTATAGAGATGAGGTCTCGCTGCCCAGGCGGGTCTCGAACCCGCGGGCTCAGGCAATCCACTCACCTCAGCCTCCCAAAGGCGCGGGATTACAGGCTGAGCCACCGAGCCCGGCTTATGATTTTTAAATGAAGAGAAACACAGAAACATTATGTGGAGAACAAAACCTGCATCTGTTTTCAATAAGAAACATACAACTTGGAAAGTCAGATTGTTGTTGGGCTGGACCCTTTCAAGAATCTGGCAGGGCTGGGCGTGGTGCAGAGATGCAACATGGGGAGACCTCGTCTCTACAGTAAACAAACAAACAAAAAAATTAGCCAGGTGTGGTGGCGTGTACTTGTAATTCCATCTAGTTGGAAGGCTGAGGAGGAAGGATTGCCTGAGCCCAGCAAGTCGAGGACGTGGTGGCTGTGAGCATGCCACTGCACTCCAGTCTGGGTGGCAGAGTGAGACTCCAACTCAAAACAAACAAGCAAACAAAAAATAAATAAAAAGAGAAAAGAAATGAGATATAAAGATCGGAAAGCAGACAATTTGTAGAAAAGATTTACTTAAAGAAACTTGACGGCATCTCTATCTAATGAGACCGTCAGTAATGTTGTCTCTCCGCCAGGTGGGGCTATTGAGCCCTAACATTTTGACTGATGTGACTGAGAAATTAAATTCTTTCATTTTATTTAATTGTAATTAATTAACTCATTATTTTATTTTTTTCTGGGTTGGAGTCTCACTCTGTCACCCAGGCTAGAGGGCAGGGGCATGCTCCCGGCCACCGCAGCCTCGACCTGCTGGGCGCCGGCGATCTTTTCACTTCAGCCTTCCAAGTAGATGGAACTACAGGAGCGTGCTACCATGCCTGGCTAATTTTTGATTTATTGTAGAGATGCCCAGGTGGTCTTAAGCTCACGGGCTCAGGCAATCCTCTTGCTTCGGCCTCCCAAAGTGCTGGGATCACAGGCTGAGCCACCGAGCCTGGCCAATTATAATTAATTTTTTTTTTTTTGAGTTGGAGTCTCACTCTGTTGCCCAGACTGGAGTGCAGTGGCCGCTCCCAGCCCCCTCAGCCTTGAACTGCTGGGCTCTGGTGATCCTTCCACCTCAGCCTTCCGAGTAGCTGGAACTACAGGTGCACGCTACCACGCCTGGCTAATTTTTTTGATTTATTGTAGAGATGAGGTCTCGCCAAGTTGCCCAGGTGGGTCTTGAATCTGTGGGCTCAGGCAATCCACTCCCCTCAGCCTCCCAAAGCACGGGATTACAGACTGAGCCGCTGAGCCCGGCTTGCAATTAATTTAAAATTAAACAACAGGGTGTGGTGGCTCATGCCTGTAGTGCCAGCACTCTGGAAGGCTGAGGTGGGAGTATTGCTTGAGCCCAGCAGTTCGAGACCAGCCTGGGCAACATAACAAGATCCTGTCTCTAAAAAATAAAACTAAAATTAAAGTAAAATAAAATTAAACATCCTCACGTGACTGGTGGCTATGCCTGGGAGAACACAGGTCTAGAGAAACAACAGGGAAAAAAAGGATAAGAATTTAATAAGTTAACTGAAGCCCTTCCTGCCCTCAGTGTCCTCATCTGGGAAGTGGACCAGCTGATCTAGATCTCTGACTGGCTCTAGGGACTGCTGCTATGATGACAAGTATGCTCCCTGGTAGGTGGGAGTTCACTGTATAACTGCACCTGACTCTAACAAGTCACACGGATAACTTCTGAATTATAGGAAGGGAAAACAACCTCTGTTGTCTTCCTCCTCTCTCTTCCCTGTCACCTCAGGACCCAGATGGTGACGGAAGACTCGGTGGCCTATTATAACTATTCGATCATTGGCACCTTCACCGTGAACCTCAAAGTGGTGGCGGAGTGGGAGCAGGCAAAGCCGGACGGTGAAAAGGTCATTGTGCAGAAGACCGGGGACTTCTCTGCCTCGCTGAAACTGCAGGGTGGGTCTCCAAGTAGGCTGGCATAGACTGAACATCTGGACCCTTGGCGGGGGGCTCCCCCAACACCACACCTTCCAGGGCGGGGTCACCGCGTGCACAGATCAGGGTGGCTCCAGGCTCAACACACACTCATGCTCTGTGGTCCTCTGAGCAGCCTCTCTCATTACACCTACTTCAAAGAGGGCTCTGAAGGCCACAGGCAAGGTCATGTGACTGCTCAGGGGTAGACTGGCATTTGATCCCAGGCCTGCCTGGTCCCAGAGTCCGAGCCTGTGGCCAGTCTGCTGTGACCTGGTCCGTCCACACTGATCTTTGTTCCCCGGCCACTTAGACCTCTGGTCAAGGCCCACTCCACCAGGGTGGGATGGGGCTGTCTCCTGCACAGGGAGGGAATGCTCAAACCTTTCTCTCCTTGGCTTTGGCAACAGTGAGGGCTTTGGCAGCTGTGGAAGATGACTTGATTCTTGCTAATGGGGTGATGCTTTCCTGTGTGGCACAGATGATGGCTTGGTGACAGTCGACAAGACAGTTGGCCTTGGCCTGCCGTCTCCAACTTTCTCCTTCTGATCTGGCTCTATCATCTGCAGCTGATAGGGCAGGGCAGGACCCCAAGGTGCCCTGGACAGACCTGTGACCCTCCTTTGGGAGAGGAATGGAGGAGCGGACAGGGTGGTAATCACAAAGCTCCAGGCCCTGGGAGCCCCGTGACAGCAGTCCTCAGCCACTGGGCCTAATGGGGTTGTCTGCCTTACAGAAACCCTTCGAGGCATCCAAGTCTTGGGACCCACCCTGATTCAGACCTTCCAAAAGATGACAGTGACCTTGAACTTCCTGGGAAGGTGAGTGAAGCCCCAGCGGCCCTGCTTACGCACTCTGACAGGGGCTCCCAAACCTGTTCTATCATCCCCGATGGGCCCCAGGTCTGGGAGCTCACGAATGGTGGTGCCACTCTGCCCTGAGGCCGTGCTACAGGGATATTGTGGGCACAGCTCTATTTTCAAGGTCCCACAGAGGGAGGATGGACCTTTTGGGACTGTCTGCGGCATAGTTGTAAAGGCAAAGGCAGGAGAGGGCCTCACCTGAGAGAAGCCCTCCATGTGTGATGTACGGCCTATTTTCCAGTCCCCAGCCTTTGCCTGCATGGATCTCTTGCCCTAAAGCTCTCTCCCCTCTCCTCGTATGTCCAGATGATCCTCATCCTTCAAAGCCCTTGAAATGCTTGCCCTTCAAAGCCTGTTCTGCACAGGGGAGCTTGCACTAGCCAGCAGATGTTGGTTGAGAGTTTGCTTTGGACCAGCCACTGTTCTAGAAGCGTCTAGTCAAGAGTAGACGAGGCAGAACCACTGCTTCTCTGGTTTCTGTGTGGAGGGTGGGGCACCCCACAAGAAACCTAAGCAAAGAATCCCCAGGAATTCTCAAGAACAAACCCAGTCAGGTGGGCCTGGCCCAGGCTCTTGGTAAGAGCAGCATAAGGCTGAGTGTTTAGTAAGTGAGGAGACAGGGAGAAGCAGGGGTGTTCTTCCCACAAGGGTCTCCTTCCTGGGGTCGCTGGACTGGACAAAGCTGCAGAGGCCAGGGGTCAGGGCCCAGCCCTCGAAGGATTCTTGTCCCTGCAATGGAACACACGAGAGGATGCAAGACCAGACAGAGTGATTGAAGGAAGGCGAGGAAAGAGGAAGATGGGCTCACTTAGGGACTGGAGGTGTCTCTAAGGTCTCCAGGGAGCTTTGGAGGTGGGAGCTTAGCATGTGGAGAATGGGAGGCCACTTGGGTTTGGCAGACCTGACCTTTGAGGTGGCGTGAGTGTACGGGTTCTACTCAGGTCTGGGGGTTGTGTGGAATGGAATGCTTATTCAGAATTCCTTGGATGGACCTGTGTTTTCCGGCTTCTGAGCCTGTGCTTGTGGCATGCAGGTAACCCAGAATGCCCTTATCTTTTCTCATCTGTCAAAAGCCCACCTATCCTTTCAGCTCCCGCTCAAGGGCCACCTCCTCCAAGAAGCCTTCCCTGACTTCCTCATTAATAATGCACTCGTTATTCTCCCCTGCTTCCATAGCATGCCGTGCCATCAGAGCACCCATTCCGCCTCTAGTTAGCAGTCTGTGCATGTCTCTGTTTGCCACACTAGCCTGGAACGCCCTGGAGTCCGGGGCCATGTCTTCCGCACCTCTAGAATGCATGATGCTGACGCTGAAATTCATGCCCACGTGGTCTTTCTTGGACTTGGTCTGTGCTCACGCTCTTTGCCGAGTCATTTCTGAAAACCTGTCCCCATGTTCCCGCAGTCCCCCTCTGAGTGTGTGCTGGCGTCTCAAACCTGAATGCCTCCCGCTGGAAGAAGGGGAGTGCCACCCTGTGTCCGTGGCCCACACAGCTTACAACCTGACCCACATCTTCAGGGCCCCTGGAGACTACTGCTTCAGCATCCGGGCTGAGAATGTCATCAGCAAGACGCATCAGTACCACAGGATCCAGGTGTGGCCCACCAGTAAGTGACACACGGGCAGCACAAACCTGTCCCCCTGCCACCACTGCCAATATGCTCCGACCAGCCACCTCTACGAGGTCAGTAGCAAGCAAGCCCTTTAGCAATAGCAAAAACCCTACTGGCTTCAGCAACAGCCAATACCACGGTTGGCCGACTGCCAAAACCACCACCAAACTCTCCCACTACCATCAGCCACCACTGTGCAACCCTCCCACCTCGCCCATTGATTCGACCAACACCATCCGTCAAAACCAGCGCCATTAACAACAAATAACTCAGCCATCGCCTTTACCACACACTCTACTGACAAACACTTCAAGCACCGTCATTGTCACCACTAACGACTCCACCAGTATTTCCACCAAGTCACCTCAGTGATCCCTGCCTGCACCCCTCCCCCTTATTTTTTGAGTTGAAGACTCACTGTGTCACCCAGGCTGGAGTGCAGTGGCACGCTGCTCATGGCCACCGCAGACTCGACCTTCTGGGCTCAGACACTCCTTCCACTTCAGCCTTCCAAGTAGCTGGAACAACAGGCGCTCGCCACCACACCCGGCTAATTTTTGTGATTTATTGTAGAGATGAGTTCTCACCAAGTTGCCCAGGCTGGTCTCGAACCCCCGAGCTCAGGCAGTCCTCTCACCTTGGCCTCCCAAAGTGGTGGGATTGGAGGCTAAGCCACTTCTATAAACTCACACCGCCACCAGCCCCAGCACCAACCTGTGGACCAAAACAATCCGTGTCCACATCCCTTCCCACATGCTCCCAAGACCACACATGTCCATAGCACGGGCAGTCCCGCACTGGGTGAGCCACCATCATGGCCGCCATCATCCCTGCCCCAGCGCTATCACCTTTGCCCCCGTGGGAGCCATCACTAAAACCAGCATTCACAACAGTGACTCTGCCCAACTCACTGGGCTAGGGAGCGTCTTCCAGGAAGAAGGAGCTGCTCAGACAGTTCAAAGTTTGGTCTCTATCATGAATAAACACGCCTAACCCTCTCACCTTGGAACACCCTTCCCTAGACTATCATCGGGCCTGGCCACTGGCTCTCTGTCACAGGATCAGCTGATAGCAGCATTGAGGCTCCACACCTCATTTCCTTGGGGGACTCTGGGATCCCAGCAAAGTTTTCCCTACACAGAGGTGAAAGTAGGATCCCAGGACACTAAGTCTTGGCTTTTCAGAAGTCCAAGCTCGTCCCACCTTTGATAGTACAAAAGAGAAGCTATGACACAGGGTAATGAGATCGGATGCCAGCCTGAGCCCAAACCTAAGCTGTCAGACTCCTGGTCCTGGAATAGGAGTTCTTCCAGGCATACCTGAGCTTATGCCAAACCCCACCAACTGCACCCGTCCTCAAGGTTTGCCCGATGCTGTCACTGCCTCCTCCGGTCTCTTCAATCCCACTCTGAGCCCCTGAGCAGATGCCACATTTCACTCAGACCCTGGCTGACCTTGTGGGTATCATCAGAGGTCTTGGGCCCTGCTGCCCCCAGCATGCCCTGGGCATTGAGTGCCTGAATTCCAGGAAAATTCAAGGGACCCCCCTGAATTCCGTGGAGAAAACGGCAGTACAGGTCTTCAGTTCTGCCTTTTCTTGGGAAACCATTAGTCATAGTGAGAGAAGAGTGAGAGGGAGCACACTTCCTGATCAGCTACCTCGTGCCAGGTACAGCCACACCTCACTCCTTGCTGCATCTCCATGGCAGCCTTGCGGGTCAGCGTTCACATCAGGTAGCCTGGCCAGAGCTAGGATTCAAGCCCAGGGCTGCCTCACTGCAGACGATGGGCTCTTTCTGCTCTACTGTGCAGTTTCCAAGCAACAGGCGTAGTGGGAGAGTCTGGAGTTGCCAGAGGGTGAGAAGCTGTGAGAGAGGTCACAGTGCTGATTGAGTGACCTGACAGCATGGCTTCCCTTCTCCAAAGTGTGTCACCCTAGAGAACAAAGAGAACGCTTTGGTGCCTTATAAAAGCCTTATAAAGCTTAGGCTCAGGAATCATACACCATCATTCCTGTCGCTTGCTGGACACTAGGAGCTAGTCATGAGTTCAGCCCACACTCAAGGGGTGAAGAATTTAACTCTCCCTCTTGGAAGTTACAATCAAGTAACTTGTGGATGTATTTTAACCCCCCACCTCCCACCCCCATTTATTTATTTGCTTATTTATGTTTGAGTTGGAGTCTCACTCTTTTTTTTTTTTTTTTGAGTTGGAGTCTCACTCTGTCGCCCAGACTGGAGTGCAGTGGCCGCTCCCGGCCACCGCAGCCTCGACCTGCTGGGCTCCGGCAATCCTTCCGCCTCAGCCTTCTGATTAGCTGGAATTACAGGCGTGCCGCCCGGCTGATTTTTTGATTTATTGTAGAGATGAGGTCTCGCTGCCCAGGCGGGTCTCTGAACCTGCGGGCTCAGGCAATTCACTCACCTCAGCCTCCCAAAGGCGTGGGATTACAAGCTGAGCCACCGAGCCCGGCTTGGAGTCTCACTCTTATCACCCAGGCTGGAGTGCAGTGGCACGCTCACAGCCACCGCAGCCTCGACCTGTTGGGCTTAGGCAATCCTTCCACCTCAGCCTTCCAAGTAGCTGGAACTACAGATGCATGCCACCACGCCCGGCTACCAATTTATTTTTTGTGGAGTCTTGGATTTGCCTGTGGGGGTTGCCTAGTTGGGATGCATGTACCTAGGAGGAAAAATAAAATCGTTGGTGGCGGTTGACTATTTTCTCTACGGTTGTACTTACCTACTACTGAGAGCCAGCATGTTCGTGCTAGCTACCCAGTCCCATGACCTCGTCTATTTCACTTCCAGGCTTCCAGCCTGCTGTCTTTGCTTTCCCGTGTGCCACACTTATCACCGTGATGCTGGCCTTCATCATGTACATGACCCTGCGGAATGCCACTCAGCAAAAGGACATGGTGGAGGTGCGTGCTCAGTAGGGTGCGGGCTGGACCGCTAGGCCCTGCCTAAGAAAGATTTTCCGAGAGGGTATGGGAACCAGATCAGGATACCTGGAGGGGGTCTTGATGTTAGAACAAGACCCTGGGGCTTGGGGTGATATGCCTGAGAGGCGTCTGTAGACCAGGAAAAACAGTTAAGTTTGTGTCCCATCTGACGTATCTCCTATGCTCATCCCTTGCCTATGTGTGGGGCCAGAAGGGTGTTCCTGTGCACTCTGCCGCCAGGCAGCTGAGCTCGTAAGGCCACTTGACGGGGCTCCTGGTGGGCGGGTGATTGATCCGTGGGGTTTTGTTCACCATAGGTGGCTGATTTTGACTTTTCCCCCATGTCTGACAAGAACCCGGAGCCGCCCTCTGGGGTCAGGTGCTGCTGCCAGATGTGCTGCGGGCCCTTCCTGCTGGAGACTCCCTCTGAGTACCTGGAAATTGTCCGCGAGAATCATGGGCTGCTTCCGCCCCTCTATAAGTCTGTCAAAACGTACACTGTGTGAGCACCCCCACCCCGTCCCATCTCAGCGTTAACTAACTGCTGACTCCGGCAGGCTGGCGTGCACCACTGACCAGGAGGGGTTCATTGACGTGGGGTCACTGGCCCTGGCCATCTGTCCATCTGTACAGTCTAGCCGCTGCCACAAGCCCCTCTCTGACACCCCCCGGCCATTTGCCCATCTGTACAGTCAAGCCACTGAAGCAAGACCCTCTCAAGCACTCCACCCACCTCCCCACCTTTGAAGAGGCTCCAAGCAGGACTCTGTTGGTGTGTTCCATGTTCTGTCATTTGATGGGGTGGGTCACCTACTTCCTTCCCCCGAGCAGCCCTGCCAATGCCAGTGAGCTAAGAAGAAAGTCACATAAGGGGAAGGATCCATTACAAAAGATTTTGCACACAGATGGACATACTCACAGAGATGTGCACACACACACACACGTGCGTGTCACCCAGGCATCTTAGGTGATTTGCTCTGTATCTGTTAAGTCAGTTACTGGGATGCACTGTGAATTGGAACTAAGATGAGATTTGACCTTCTCCATTGGGCCCCAACAGGTCCTGGGCCAGCCCCTCCTTTTGTGCAATGTATTCTCTGCAGTGCCCGTTCCTGTGGAAAAATCCCCCTTTTTCCTGCCTGCTTGCTGGGGACTTGATGGGGGCCGGACTCACACTTTGTGAGTGCACAGTGCTTTATAAATAAATATCGCTCTCTTGTGTCAGAACTCACAAGTAAAACTTCCACTGAGGAAAAGGACTTGAAGCAAAAGAAGAGGCCGAGTCCGTGGGGACTTGCATCCCCTGGGTGTGCAGGGGCGTTCTTGCCACCCAGCTGCTCCTGAGGGAGCCTTGAGGAAGAAGAAGCTGGAGCAGGGGAACCAGCCTGCTCCTTCCCCACTCAGATGGGTGACTTGGGGAATGGTTGAGGGAGACAGCAATGAGGGTAGGGGCAGCCTGAGCCTGTGAGGGGAGAGAGAGCAGGGCTGTGGGGTTGGGGCTCTGTCACTGTGCTGTTTGCTTCTGGACTTTGTGCTGAAAACAGCATTCACGCCGTTGCACAGCCCATTCTCATGAAATCCCACCATTACTGCTGAATAAAGCTTGTGTGCTCTGAATATAACCAAGCATAAACGTTGTGACCAGAGTCTCTTTTTACATGTGAACAGGTGGGCCTTGCAAGGTAACAGGAGCAGTGCTTGGACGCAGCTGGACATCCTTTTTGTGGTCTGTGGGGAAGAGGACTGAGTGGGGCTGATTTGGGTCCCTGGAGGTGGACCCAGCTCTCCCCAGGTGACTTGGACCTGTACCCTCAGTCTGAGACCCCAGGTGGACTCGAGTCAGAGCAGGAACGTAGGCCATACCTGGGAACTTGTCGGAAATGCACACCTATGGGCCTCATCCCACACCCAAGTCGGCACCTGAGGAGGGGACAGCCATCTGTCTTCAGAAGCCCTTGGGGATTCTGGAGCATGATCAAGTATAAGGACTTCTGGTTTCTAGCAGGGCTTCCTCAATGTGAATGTTCACAAGAATTGCTGGAGATCTTGTTAAACATTTTCATGTAGGAGGTCTGGAGTAGGGAGTGGGATTCTGCATTTCAAACACGTTTCCAGGACCGTTCTTTGAGTTTCAAAGATCTGAGTCTAGAAATTCCTGAGCTTTCCTCCCCTCGTGAGAGGTTTGAGACTGTCTCTCAATTGCCTTGTTCTGCCACAAATCCCACCACCCAACGCACCCAGCAGGTGTGCCCCAAGCTTCAAAGAGCTTGATAGAGTTGGAGTGGACCCTAAGAACAGGGAGCTGCCCTTATCCACTTCTGTGCTACTTTTTTTTGAGTTGGAGTCTCACTCTGTTGCCCAGACTGGAGTGCAGTGGCTGCTCCCAGCCACCGCAGCCTCGACCCGCTGGGCTCCGGGGATCCTTCCGCCTCAGCCTTCCGAGTAGCTGGAACTACAGGCACGCGCTACCATGGCCGGCTAATTTTTTGATTTATTGTAGAGATGAGGTCTCACCAAGTTGCCCAGGCGGGTCTCAAACCCGCAGGCTCAGGTAATCCACTCACCTCAGCCTCCCAAGGTGCGGAATTACAGGCTGAGCCACCGAGCCCAGCTTACACTTTTTTTTTTAAGTGACAGAGTCTCACTTTGTTGCCCAGGCTGGAATGTAGTGGTGCAATCCTAGCTCACTACAACCTCCAACTCCTGGGTTCAGGTGATCCTCCTGCCTCAGCCTTCCCAGTAGCTGGGACTACAGGCGTGCACCACCACACCTGGCTAATTTTTATTTTTTTTGAGTTGGAGTCTCACTTCGTTGCCCAGGCTGGAGTGCAGTGGCATACTCATGGCCACCGCAGCCTTGACCTGGGTTCGGGCAATCCTCCTGCCTCAGTCTTCCAAGTAGCTGGAACTACAGATGTGTGCTACCACACCTGGCTAATTTTTGGTTTATTGTAGAGGTGAGGTCTTGCCAAATTTCCTGGGCTGGTCTCAAACCCACAGGCTCGGGCAATCCACTCGCTTCAGCCTTCCAAAGTGCTGGGATTACAGACTGAGCCACCGAGCCCAGCCTAATTTTTATTTTTTAGAGACAGGGTCTCGCTATGTTACCCAGGCTGGTGTCAAACTCTTGGCCTCAAGCAATCCTCCTGCCTTGGCCTTCTAAGTGCTGGGATTACAGGCGTGAGCTACCACACTCGGCTAAGAATATGAACTGTGCCACTTTTCATGAATGGAGTCATTTAGAAAACTTTTCCAACTTCAGCATCTTTGGCACACAGGACGGATTCTGCAGGTGTCAACTGTGTTGGGGTTTGAGATAGGAAGGAACCTGGGGGTCAAAGGAACACCTGTGTCTTGGGTAACTGGTTAGAGGATCAGATGAAATCTTGGAGAAGCGGGTGGGAATGTTCTTGTCTTGGTTTGTTTTAAAGTGATATTGCAGGCTGCCCCCTCACCCGAGCGAGGCAGGTATTTTGAGGTGCTCCCCCACTGTTAGACTGTCTGTGAACACGTCTCTGGGGGGGTTGCAGGTGGTTTCCAGAGCTGCAGCACAAGCCAAGGCCTCGTGGGGGTGCCATCACTCGCCAGGCTGTGGTTACTGGCCTGTTTCTGGGCTATGACAGTGTCCAGTCCTGTCCAGCACAGCTGCATCTCACCCACGCTTCCCAATCGGCAGCGTGGTGATCCTACATAGGCCCTCCCCACATGGGCACCCCAGCTCCAGAGGGCAGGAGGGGTTGGGGCAGCCATTCCCGCACCCCTGCAGTTCCACAGGGGGATCAGATTTGTTGCTGATGGAAGACGGTGGGGTCCCACAGTAGAGTCAGGAGAGGATCAACCAGTGTGTTTGTTCCCATATCTGATGACAGCCACATTTTCCATTAGGAAGCCTGGCAAGGGCCTGATGGAACCTCCTCTTCCTGGACAGGATGGGGTGTCTCGGGAGGATGCGGAGGTTTCAAGTCTGGTACCATCAAAGTGGGTTTTCAAGGAAATTCAGACGACACACCTGGACTGGGTTGACTAGTGTTTCCCCCTAAATTCTTGTCCACCTAGAAACTGTGAATGTGGCCTTAGTGGGGTGATATTATTACTTTTACATATATATATATGTATATGGGAACAAACACATTGGCTGATTCTCTCCTGACTCTACTGTGTGTATATATATATATGCTTTGTATATATATATATATATATATATATATATATATATATATATATATATATATATATAGTTTTTTGGGGTTTTTTTGGTTGGAGTCTCACTTCATTTCCCAGACTGAAGTGCAGTGGCACGCTCCCAGCCACCACAGCCTCGACCTGCTGGGCTCCGGCGATCTTTCTGCCTCAGCCTTCCAAGTAGCTGGAACTACAGGCGCACGCTACCATGGCTGGCTAATTTTTTTTTTATTTATTGTAGATACGAGGTCTTGCCAAGTTGCCTGGGCGGGTCTCGAACCCGCGGGCTCAGGTAATCCACTTGCCTTGGTCTCCCAAAGTGCTGGGATTACAGGCTGAGCCACCTAGCCCAGCCTATATATAGGTTTTGTCCACGATGCTGGCTCCTAACTCCCATAACTCTTGTTATAACATTGGGGCGCATTAAGCCACAGGAGCAGATCCCAGAAAGCAGAATCTTTCTCTCCGATCTTCTCCCACCTTCCTTTTTTCTTGCTTCTTCCTCTCCTCCAAAGCTGGAATCTTCCTCCTTTTTTCTGTCTTGTGGTTGAGCAGAAAGGAGTTCTCTGACCTACCTTGTCTGACTGCAGGACATAAGGTCCTCATTTTGGAAGGGGTCCCGCCCCACACTCTGGAGGAAAGAACACTGCACTGAGAGGCCAAGAAGAATCTGGAGACAGACCTTGCTGGGTTTCTACTCGACCTGTTGGTATTAGATCTTTTTTGTCCAATTTCATTTCTATAAGGCTACAAAACATGCCTATCCGATGAAGTCCACAGAGGGCCCAAGAGGACAGGGATCAGGGATCTCCTGGATAGCTGAACACGTGGAGGTTCCCAGGGGATGATATGCCCAGGGAGGGCATGGAATCCCCCCTTCCTCCATGTGTCGCATCTCTTCATCTGTGTCTTTTGTTATATCCTTTATAATAAACCAGTCCACGTGTTTCCCTGAGTTCTGTGAGATGCTCCAGCAAATTAATTGGCCCCAAAGATGGGAACTCCAACTTGAAGCCGGTTGGTCAGTTCCAGAGTCTTGTGGGACTGAGCCCTCAACCTGTGGCATCTGACTCCAGGTAGACAGCGTCAGAACTGGATTGAGGACACCCAGTTGGCGGCGGAGGCAGAACTGACTGCTCGCTTGGCGTATGGGGAGGAAGCCTCACACATTTGGTCGCAGAAGACTTCTGTGCTGATCATTGCGGTGTGAGAGCAGGGGAAAAAAAAACACAGATTGAGATGGTTTCCCCATGCATACGGGAATAAGGCCTTTGCAGAGGGAATTAAGTTAAAATGAGGTCTCACAGGCTTAGAGTGGGCCTTACGCCAATGACTGGTGTCCTTGTAAGAAGAGAAGTTTATTTGGACACAGATACGCATTCAGGGAAGACAGCCCACTGAGTTGGGGCATGGGGTGGTGGTGGGAGCAGCTATCCGATTCTGGATCTCAGTGGAAGGAATCCCATTGGATGCGAATGGAACATGAGACACGAAGTCGCCAAAACTGATGAGGAGAAGTGTGTTCATTTCCCGGGGCTGCCGTCACTAAGCCACACAAGCTTAAAACAGCAGAAACTGGTTCTCTCACAGCTCAAGGGGCCAGAAGCCCGAAATCAGGGTGTCAGCAGGGTGGGTTCCTTCTTGGGAAAGACAGCCACGGGACCCTGGGGACGGAGACGGGAGTGACACATCTACAACCTGCGGGGTGCAAGGGTGGTGGCTGCCACCAGGAGAGGGAGAGAGCCCTGGAGCAGATTCCCCCTCAGAATTTCCAGAAGGATCCCAACCTGCTGACACCCTGATCTCGGGTTTCTGGCCCCTTGAGCTGTGAGAGTACCAGTTTCTGCCGTTCTAAGCTTGTGTGGCTCAGGGATGACAGCCCCAGGAAACGAACACACTTCTCGACATCAGTTTTGGCGGCTTCATGTCTCACGATCCATTCGCATCCGACGGGATTCCTTCCACTGAGATCTAGAATCTGACCACGGCTCCCCCCACCCCCCAACCCAGGTGGAACCCACGCTGGGCCTGGGGGCTCCTTCTCCCCTCACCATACCCCAAGTCTATTCTCAAAAGTGCACCAGGACTACCACATCCTTCTCTTCCCCCAGCCCTCAATGTGTCCTACCTCAGAGTAAAGCCCAAGTCCCTCCTGTGGCTCTTAAATCTCATACAGCCTGGCCCGTGACCTTGCCGCCCTCTCTCCCCGCTGCTTATCCAGGTCTTGTTCAGACTGTCTTCCCACCAAGGTGGAATGCTCTTCCCTGGACACACATAAGGTTCCCTCCCTCCTCTGCTCAAACACCAGCTTCTCTGTGAGGTTGCCCTGGCATCCCCACCTCCCGTGTCTTATCTTACTGCCCCCTACAGCATTTATCACCTTCTAACCTCTATTAATGAAACTTGTTTATTTATTTTTATTTATTATTTATTTATTTATTTTGAGTTGGA